TACCTAGTGGGACCCGTTCATTTCATAAATAACGAAGCAGGCCCAGAGTGAGTGGGCGACACTCGCTGGTACAAGAGCCCACGGTGACAGGTTCCTGTTCCTGGCTGTTACGGGCACTTGGGAGGGTGGGGAGCAAAGGGGCAGTGGGTCAGGCCTCAGGCTCAAAGCCAAGACGGCTGGTCCAAGTCCCAGCCCCAACTCAAGCTTCCTTGCCTGGGGCACATGTTTTACTCTGTGTGCCCGGCTTCCCCCACTGTGAAATGGGGCCGTGTGGGCCCCAGGGAGCGCGTGGGGCGTGGTGCACGGAGCGTCCTCATCCCACCCGGCGCCTCCCGCCCGCTCGGCGCTTCCTCACACAGGAGAGATGCTAGTTTCCCTTCTAGAGCAGAACCCTTCCTCAGGGTCATACCCGTGACTTAATTTAGTTTTTATTTTTATGTTTTTCTTCTTGGACTTCTTTATTATCAGAAAAACCAACAACTCAATTTAAAATAAACCAGCATGGTTTTATTTAACACATTGGTATTGGCTGTCAGGTCTTGATATTTGATAAATTAGCTAATTAAAAATCAGACAAATCCAGCGCATATTTTTTGTTTTGTTTTCAAATATTGCCGCGGTGGCTCCCAGCCTCAGGCAGAGCTGCAGGCTCTGCGCGGCGCAGGGAGCCGGCTGGGCAGCGTGAGCACGGCGGCGGCGGGGGCGGGTCAGCCGTCAGCGCTCCGTGTCTTCTGGCCTTGTCGGGAAGCACGGTAGCACTTTGACTAGGAAGACCTCTCGTCCGCCACGCTTGGTGTGTGCAGGCAGTAAGTGACGGGGTGAGTCGAAGCAGACTCAGCGTGCTGAGCTCGGCCCCTACCTCCAGACTTAATTTGTGACCAGATGATTGATTGCCGGGGGTGGAAGAAAACTAATTCCTTCATTTTATTTCCCAAAGTGAAGGCATTGGAGTCTTTCAGCAATCTTCCAAACACAGTCTGTTTGAGTCATGTAAAATGTCTCGTGGAGGGCCATTTGCAGAAGATAAAGTGGAAGATGTGAAAGCTCTGGTCAAGATTGTCCCTGTTTTCTTGGCTTTGATACCTTACTGGACAGTGTATTTCCAAGTGAGTGGTGACAACCAGGTTTACTTTCCTTTACCTTCCCATGAAGCCTTGCCCTAGCGCTCGTTCTGGCCATTACGCGGGACTCGTCATTTGTATCCACGGGTCTCTCTAGGATCTTGGAAATTTTTTAGTTACGGACTCATTTCGGCTGCTTTAAATATTTTGAAAACCTTTCCAAAAAAGAAGCTAAGAATAGGTATGCTTCTGGCTTTTCAGGCCCCTCCTGTTAATTTAATTTCTCATTTGGATAACTGGCAGTTCTTTTTCCAAATTGATCTCCAGAGGACGTTTATGATGACCAAGTAATTGACTTGTTCGTTTTCAAACTCGAACCATCATGTGTTCCTGGGAGTCATTGCTGTGTCTCATCAGAGTCTAGTCTAGGGGAGGGGCCATATGCTTAAAGTATTTAAAAAGCACAGTTGGTTCACGTATAATAATACTGCTTTTTATACCCAGATGCAGACAACGTATGTTTTACAGAGTCTTCACTTGAAGATTCCAGAAATTTCAAGCATTACAACCACCCCTCATACGGTAAGAACAATTGAGATGATCTGAAATTGCCACTCGGGGCTTGTGTAAGAAATGGATTCCTTCTACCAACTGTAGAAATTTTATAAATGTTAGCAGTTAGCACGAACTAAAAACAGTTACTGAAATTGAATTTTTACTTACTTTAGAGAATTTTTTCATCTGCCATATCATGTGCTAGATTAAGTTGGTTAGTATTTTCATGTGATTCTTTTTTTTTTCCTTTAAAACACAGAAAAGCAAATGTGGATCCATTTAGAAATAAGTCTTTCCCCAGTTCCGGTGTCTTGGAACTGAGATCCTTTTCCTAGCAGTCATTCTTCGTGGGGAGGAACCGTGGTTTGCATGCGTTTCTCGCGGGTAGACATGTTGTCAGATAGCGGCCACCCGTGTTGCAGAACCAACCGTCCCCGTGTCTCGCCCCAGCTCCCGGCGGCCTGGCTGACCATGTTCGACGCCGTGCTCATCCTGCTGCTCATCCCTTTGAAGGACAAGCTCATTGATCCCATCTTGCGGAGACACGGCTTGCTGCCGTCATCCTTGAAGAGGATCGCGGTGGGGATGTTCTTCGTGATGTGCTCTGCCTTCGCCGCCGGTGAGAGCCCTGCCTCGTGCCCCGCGGGCCCGGCTTGTCGTGACCGTGCCTTGGGTTGCTCAGGAAGGGTATTCGCCTTAAAAAGTATTTTAAACCACTGACTGTTCTTTTCTAATTTTTTATTACGTAAGTTTAAAACTTTTTTCCTAAGGATGTGTGATTTTTATTCTAAAACTGAAACCACTGGAGTGCTCTGGAAAGTGACTTTGGGACTGAATTAAAGGAGGCGTGTTCTCTACCTGTTGATGTAAAATTAGGCTACTGATTGCTGAATAGATGAGTTTTTATAAATTAAAGGCGTTACGTAATCCTCAGGATGAGCATTCCACCTTTCAATTCTTTTTTTTTTGAGACAGAGTCTTGCTCTATGGCCCCAGGTAGAGTGCAGTGGCATCAGCGTCTTTATGTACACTCTTAAATCCCTAGAAGTATAATCATTACAGCCTTGTAAGGCTTTTGATGTGTGTGGCAGATGGAGAAGGGCGTGTCTCGCCCATCACCCCAGGTAGTGGCTGCCTGTACCCCTCCTGGAGCTCTGCTCTTGCCCCCTGCGGTGTTGTGGGGGCTCCATCACCCACGGCCATTGTCCGGCAAGAGAGCACTCGTGGGCTTCCAGGCGTGGACGGACATCCTGAAACTGAGGCAGATTCAGTGGGGAAAAGGTCGTGGCTTTCATGAGCAGAGAGTTAGGAAGCACTGATCCGCAGCAAGTTTTCAAAAGTTGTTAATACACAGTCAGTCCACGGTCATTAAAAATGCAGATATGAGGAGGGGCCTGAATCTGTCCGTATCTGACCATCTGAAGATGACCAAACTATTTCTGTATCCTCCTAGAACGGTTTCTGTGCATAGCCAAATTACTGTGTTTGAAGCAGAAACGGAACAAACGACTCGCAGTTTATAACCTATTTTTGTATGTTATATACTGTATATATTTTTCCACGTGAATAATTACACATTGAAATTATGCTTTTTAACAGCTATATCATATTCAGTTTTTGAATATTATTTTTAAAACCAGTCCTCTCTTATTAAATACGATGGTTGATTCCAGTTTATTTTTATTTATTCATTTTTTTTGGAGATAAGGTCTTGTTCTGTTGCCCAGGCTGGAGTACATAGATGTGATCACAGCTCACTGCAGCCTCCAACTCCTGGCCTCAAGTAATCCTCCCGCCTCAGCCTTCCCAAGTGAGCCACCGTGCCCAGCCAGAAACTAACATTATCGTTAGTTGTAATGATAATGATAATAGATCAATGGATCACCTAAATCTGTCTTTATGGTCAGAAAAACATTGCGTAATTTATTACCTCCTCTTAAGTAAAATGGCAGGACTGTTTAGCTTTCCCCTCCTCTACTTTGTAGAAGAAATGAAGTGTGGGTGAGCAGTCCAGATATCTGAGGATTAAATTACTACCATGCGATCTCCAAGCAGCCCACCAGGTGCTGACAGCAGGGACTTCTCAGTCTGGGGATCGGAGTGCTGTAATTGGGCATTATTTTTCCAGCATTTTTTAGAACCGTCAATGAGCATCTTGTAGCAAGCATCTATTAATGGTTTTTAGCTTAATTGTTACGTTAATAAACAAATGCTACACTGACCTATGTATGAATTCTAGGAATTCTGGAAAGTAAACGGCTGGATCTTGTTAAAGAGAAAACCATTAATCAGACTATCGGCCACGTCGTTTACCACGCTGCCGACCTGCCCATATGGTGGCAGGTTCCACAGTACGTGCTGATTGGGATTAGCGAAATATTCGCAAGTATAGCAGGTAAGGTTTCTTCAGTGTCAGAGGTGTCTGAGTAGTCATAAAAAAATACTAGATCATTAAATATGAAATGTCTGATTTCGAATCAAAAGTGTAGTTTATTCTGTCTCAAACAAGAAACGGCACAACTAATCAAAGTGTGCACCTAAACTATTGACAGAGCTTTGCCATCTTAGTGGTAGGTCGCTTATGCTGGCAGCGAAGAGGCCTGGAGAGGAAGTGGCGATGAAATCACGAGAGGTGTTTTCCACTGCTTGTTGAGAATTGAACATTTTTCCTTGCAAGAAGTGGTCTAAAGCCTGAGAGAAGTGGTAGTCAGTTGGTGCAAGGTCTGGTGAATACAGTGGATGACAGAGAGTTCCCAAGTCCAGCCTCTCTGTTTGAGCAGCGTTGTTTTTTGTGACATATGATCTTGCAAGAGGATTGGCCTGTCTCTATTAACCAATCTTGGCTGCTTAATCAAAAACATCCTCCTCATTTCGTCCAATCAGGTGCAGTAGACATGAGCTGTAATCCTTCGACCAGGTTTCATGAAGCTGTAGTGGATAGTACCAGCACCGGACCACCCAACAGACACCCCATTAGCTTTTTTTGATCAATATTTGGTTTTCGACTGTGTTTAGGCACTTCATCTTTATCCAGCCATTATGCCAAACACTTGAAATTGTGAAAAAGAATCCATTTTTCATCACATGTAACAATACAGTGTAGAAACGGTTCACCTTTATGTTATGACAGCAAAGAAGGGCAAGCTTCGAGACGATCTCTCTTCAGACACTTGTTTAATTCATATGGAACCCATCTATCCAGCTTCTTTACCTTGCCCATTTGTTTCAAATGGTCCGGTATTGTTGGAATAGTATCGTCAGACCTTGCTGCTAATTCACTCGTAGGTTGAGATGGATTCGCTTCCACTACAGCTTTCAGCTCATCATTATCCATTTTGGTCTCAGGGTCACCCACGTGGCTCATTTTCAAGATGAAAATCGCCAGAACGGAACTTCTCAAACCGTGGACATCCTGTGCGTTCGTCAGCCACGTCCTTCCCAAACACTTCACTGATATTTCCAGCTGTCTGCGCAGCATTGGTTCCACGATGGAACTCATATTTGAAAATAACTGAAATTTTTGACTTATCCGTGGTTTCACAAAAATTGCTCTAAAAAAATTTGAAAGATAATCACAAGCCAAAATGTACGTTTCAAAGGCTGAGGATGTACCTTCGCAATAAACGTAGAACGAGAAGTGTCAAAATGAAATGTCAGAGCTATCAGTTCTCAAACTTAGTACTTAAGGAAATTGGATATTTCATGCTTAATAACCCAAGAATAAGAGCTATGATGTTTTTGTTATGCTGTTAGACGACGTGGAGAGAAAAGCAACGTGCTGCTTTTGTATTTTTTGCCAGAGAGTTGTGGTTCAGTGTGTGAATTAGTAAATAAATGCTAAGGCTAAAGTTCTTCTTTCTTGGTATAAAAGCAGTATCCCAAAAATATTTTCATGAAAACTCATTGACTACCTACAGGTGCCGCAGGAGACAGGAGAAAGCAGGTCACTCACTGTCACTGTCCCTGCCTTCCTTTGGCGCCTCCTGGCAAGGCCTCCGCGGTGGTGCTGCGCCAGCCCAGCCTGGGCCGCGCAGCTCTCGGGGCTGGCGCTTTAGATTTATGTAAGGAAGCAAATCTAGTTTTTTAAAAACACGTTTTTGCAGGCCTCTTTCCTGTTAGTGAGATTGTTTATGGTGTGGGCCTGTGTACTCTGGCGGCCCCGCGTGGCTGCTGGGAGTGCGGGGGTAGGGAATGAGGGACGTGCAGAGGCTGCGCGGGGCGTGTGGGTGGCGGGTGGCGGTTTCCACCTCAGAACACCGCGCAGACTTGGCTCGCGAGTTTACGAAGGGAATAAACCACAACAGAGCGACCTTTCCTGTAGAATACGCCGCAGATCTCCGTGTCTAGTTATCACAAAAATCTGCATTTGTGGATGGCCCTGCTGAAATTGTTTTAGAGCCTGTTACCTTTGAACTAGAATCCTTACGTAGATCCCCGTTTTAGGGTACGTACTTTGTCTTCAAATTCCCATCACTTGTGAATATAGGAAAATTTTGTTTCTTTAACCTCTCTTTTCCCATGAGGAACGAAAAACTTAAGAGCTAACAAATCACATTTTACCCTGAAGTTCGAGAGCAAGGGGTTGACGTTCTGCTTCACTGGCTGTCGTTAGGGACTGTCGTCGTGGCCGGAGGACAGGCCATCAGTCTCGACCCCAAGTGGGAACCGTGTTCACAGCCGGGCAGGGGCGGGTCCCCGAGCGACCCTGCGCTTGTCCTGCCGTGCCGGGGAGGGGCGTGGCTGCTCCGTCAGAGTGCTCCCTTCACATAACGAGCCTCCCTTGTCTTCCCTAGGTCTGGAGTTTGCGTACTCGGCCGCCCCCAAGTCCATGCAGAGCGCCATCATGGGCTTGTTCTTCTTCTTCTCCGGCGTCGGCTCGTTCGTGGGCTCGGGCCTGTTGGCGCTGGTGTCTGTCAGAGCCATCGGATGGATGAGCAACCACACGGACTTTGGTAAGAGCTGCTCCTGTCTTCTTTCTAAGGCAACCGGCGGTGGAGAGGCGCGTGCCCACGGCTGCCACGGCATGTTTGGGACCGTGAGCGAGTGAGGTGGTTCTAGTTTACGCAGGCGGGCCTGTCCCTAGGGCTGCGTGTCCCGTTCCTTGCCCTGCGGTGGACCTCACGTGGTTGTATCTACCTAGATCATTCACAGTGTCTCTCGGAAGCCCGGCGCCCGCCACACCCTGCCAGCCGCTGCGTGCCCTCGCTCTCCCGGGAGCGTCTCGCCCGAGGGCCGGCACTGCTGTCAGGAGGCAGACACACCTGCATCGCAGATGTCCCTTTGTTTCACTTGGCGTTGTGTTTGCTTTCCCTTTTACTTTTTTGATATTAAAAAGACAGGGGTAGATAATAAGTCACTTTTCACGATGAACACATTACTCACGATCACTCTTGGTCGGATTTTATGATTAATACCAGCAGGTGGCATCTCGTTGAAGTCACTCACAAGGGTCAGCGTTTCCCTTCTCGAGATCTGCGACGGCTTTTAAATGGCCGCAGGAGGTGAAGGTTTCTTCTTTCTTTTCTCTCTGTTTTTTAAGCTTCATCTATGAAAACACCCTTACTGCGTTTTCTCGTGTCGTCGTACAGCGTGTGCTTCGGTCTGGTCATGCTTAGCCACTTTTAGGTCGTAAATCCCCTTGAAAATCTGAGGAAAGTTTAGGGACTTTTCTCCAGAAATTGCAGAATTCCCTGGGCCCTTCCACGACTGAGTTAAAACTCCTGTCCTCACAGGTGAGTTAGGCCTGTGGAGTCCTGGTGTAAGTTCCGGGGCCCCAAGCCACCACTGTCCCCAGCCACCGACCACCAGTGCCCCCAGCTGTGAGAGCGTCTCCCTGGCAGGCTCAGCGGTGGCTCTGAAGGGGCAGGTGGCCCTGGGGCTGCCGTTCACTCTCGGCCCCCTCCGAGGACAAGCAGCCGCGGAGTGAGGCGCCGGGACGGGGGCGCCCTGTGGGCTCTCCTGGGTCCCAGGGGCCACGGCACAGACCCCTTCGAAGACAGGCTTGTTATAAAGACCAGACTCTGTGGGTCTTAAGACATTCTGTTTCTTTGTTTTTGTTTTATCCTTAAGTGTGTCATAAAGGATTGACCGGCTTTTGTCATTCTTACTGTTCTCTGGTTATTTAACCCCCTGACACTAACGTGACATCCGAAAGTTTGCTGTGGTCCCGCCTCTCTGGCAGGCTGTCCGCGAGCTCCCGCTGTGACCCGTCGGCACTCGTGGGGCGGGCCTGGGTCTGTGTGCCCCCCTCTCCTGGAGAGGGGGGACCTCGGGGGGGTTCTCGAGCAGTCCCTGGGCCGTGCCCTGCAGCCGCGCCTGGCAGCCCTTCGTCACACCGCCGAGCGGAGGTGCAGGCAGTTCTGTCGAGCAGACCCCAGCGTCCTGGGTGAGACGCGAAGGCTGTGATGGGGGAAATGCACAAATAAATGCCCACGCCTTGCCTCCCTCGGGGACACGTGGCTGTCGCAGGTGGCTGATTTGGGGAGGGAATTCCCCAGATTCTCCAGAACGTGCGGATTGTGGAAGTAGCAGAGTAGGAGCTGGTCGGCCTTTGCTCTGGTCTCTGCTCGGGACACCTGCCGCCCTGCGCTGCGTCTCGGCACTGACACAGGAAATGGCTTTTGCGAAGGCACAGGGCTGTGGTTTGAAGGGAGATGCACCCAGGTTGTCACATTGTCTCCTTTACTATCCTCCCAGCAGGGCTTGCCTGTACTATTACTGATGTTATTTAGATTGGGAGTGGCATCCACGCCGTAGTAGAGCGCTCTCATCTTGCGTGCACAGCTTGGTGTGTTTGTGGCCAGGTCAGAGTGGAGATGGTTTGGAGCCGCTGTGTCTTCCTGAGCTGTTCCCCACCCCAGGCGAGCGCCGTTCTGCCTTCCCTGTCCCGTGCTCTCCTGGGGTGTCGTCTTTCACTGAGCACTTCTGCCTGGGGAGCCCTTCCCAGCCACCTGCTCTCCGTTACTTCTGCGTAGCGTTCCCTGGTGTGAGCGTGTCACCGGCTCATCCATCCTGCTGTCGACGGCGTCCCTGCGGTTTCCGGCGCGGGGCTGTCATGCATGGCGCTGCCATGGACGTTCCCGCACATGCGGCTTGTGGACGGTGCTCTAGTCCAGGGGCCAGAGCCAGGGGCTGCCTTAGCAAGCTTGACAGCCCCGGCGCTCAGCGTCTTCCTGTGCAGTTGTCCTTCTGGCAGTGAAGAGGCCAAGACAGCAGGGGTGGTGGCTTTCTGGGTGGTGGCGCATTGCTGGACGCCCTGTGAGGCGTGGCCTGCGCTTCTGCTCGCTGACTCCGTAGCACTGCCTCACCTCCGCAGGGCCACGCGGTGTGCAGCCCACGTGGCCAGCTTGGAGCTTCGGAAGTTTTCCATCGCTCTCTAATTTGGGGAGATTCCTATTTCAAAATCGGCACATAAAATGGTACCATTGACATTTTGATGACAGCAAACACCAGGCTCCAAGAGGGAGCCAAATGCCCAGGACTGAGCCTCACAAGTAGTAAGGGCCAAATCGATGTTTTAAAATGCATGCAGAAAAATGACGTTTTGGTAGAAGAGAAAGGTATTAGCAGATCTCTTCCAAAATCAATAGACATAGGAGATGATTGTCTTCTGTAACATACATGAATGAGAATTCTTTAAAAACATGTGAAAACTTATTACACAGGCAAGCATATCTGTTTATCATGTTTGTTTGGCAAATGCATTGTCAAACGTCTGATAGTAATTACATGTTCAGATAGAAAAAGGAAGGAAGTTTCAGAATAACCCAACTTTAAAAAGATCTTCTGAGGAAAGGAAGTCTCGCTTTTTTTAAATAAAAAAATTAGTGCTTTTGAAGCGTGTCAGAAAGCACAGCAACTTTGATTCCAAAATACTCGCTTCCTCCAGTGACGCCGCCACTGGATGCATCTGCTGACCTGGTCTGTGCAACAGGCCGGCGATGCTTCTCTGCTGGTGGCAGGTGGCGTAAACGGTGCGGTGTCTGCGGGCTTGCAGGGACAGGCATCTGGGCCCCGTGGCGGGGTCAGGCTTGGCGGGGCTACTCGGCTGGCTCTGGGTGTCCCGGACAGGTGCAGACAGGCGAATGTCCTGCCATGGCCCACACACGTCCCTCCCGTGTCTCCACACCACGTGGTAAGTGGTGACTGTGGCGGGTGCTGTCTGACCCGGTGCGCTGGTGGGACACAGCCAGTGCGCAGAGTAACACTGGCCCTGGGTGCGAAACGGGGGTTCTAACCGTGGTGCGGGACGGAAGCCCTCATTGTGTGCAGGTGCTGCCTGAGCACTCCCCTGGACCCTTACCTGTGACAACGCCGGCTGGTAGGGTGGCGTCTTCCCGTTTTACAGAGGGGGACACTGAGCTCAGAGAAGTCTAGCACTTGGATTTGCCCCACAGGCTGTTGCCTTAACCTCTGCCCTGTTCAGCCCTCTCAGGATTTGCTGGGAATTTAAAACAAACAAACAAAAAAAAACGTTTCATTTAAGGTGCCTCCATTGTGCTTGGGACGAGTGTGTTCGCTGTTTGTAGTCGGCTATCCAGGTACATCCGGTGTGTGTCAGTTTGAGGGTGCTAAAGTCTGGAAATGTTGAGGAAAAATTGAAAAACAAGCTCATATTTCCCTGTCACGCCTAGAATGTATTGTTGGTCTGTCTGCCCGGTGCACGGAGCTGTGGTTCCGTGTCAGTGGCGTCTGTAGCGAACCCTGTGGCTTTCAGGCCGTGTCCTGGTGCTGTCCGTAACGTTGGAGCGCGCACAGACTCTGCGCCGGGCACAGGGAACATCCCCTGCGGGGTTAGGTAGGACGTCAGCAGGCTCTGCTGTCCTCGTCCCTGCCTCCCTCAGAACCCAGTCCCAGGCAGGCGTGATGGGTGGAGGGAGTCCCCTCGCACTAGTGGAGGACAGGAGGGAAGGAGACGCCCCACACCGCCGTGCGCTGCTTGGTGACGAGAGCACGGGGAGGGGGGCAATGTTTTTACTTTCCCCCCATTTTCTGTTGGGAGGTTAGCAAAGCCAAGTCGACGTTTTCCTCTTGCCGCCAGGTTTCCCGAGGTCGGTGCGTGCCCCGCGCACTCTGCATCCACGCGAGCCTCCGACTCCATCTCCCCCTTCCGTGGCGGAGCAGGGACCGCCCTGAGTCCTGGGGCCGCGACTGCAGTTGCTCACGTCACTCGTTTCCTTCTCTGCCCGGGCGCCTGGGCCGCCTCGTCTCCCTGACCGAGAGGCGGGTGGCCGTGCGGTTGGGAGCGTCTGGAGCCCACACCCGGGCCCTGCTGGGAACGCAGCCGCCCCGGTGGCTTCCGCGGTTGCGTTGAACAAAATGCTGTGTAGTTTGAGTTACGGAGATGCGGTTATTTTCTTTTTAATGACCACAGTTAAAAGTCACCCTGACCTTAGTAGGACCCCAATTAAATCGTAAAATCTTTTAAAATATCTCCGGAAATGCGCTCACCTACCTCTCACGCCTGTTTTCTGCAGGAAATATCAATGGCTGCCGTCTGAACTATTACTTCTTCCTGCTGGCCGCTGTTCAGGGGGCCACGCTCCTGCTCTTCCTGATCGTGTCTGTGAAATACGACCGCGACCGCCAGCGAGCCAGGGCGAGCGGGGCGCCCACCGCCGGGAGGGCCTGAGCCCGGGCGGCGCCCCGCGGACTGTGAGCGGCCACTGCGCCGAGACGGGGAGTCGGGTCGCCCCCAGGTCTGACTGTCCGCACGTGCGTGCTGCGCGGGTTGTCTCTGCTCCCCCACCACGAACTAGGTAAGTGCCTTCCGTGCTCAGCCGGGCACGCGGCCTCCCGGAGGAGAAGCGCGGGTTTCGAGCGTGTTGCTTCTCGTCACCCAAGTCCTCTGAACGTAGCCGCGTCCCTCTTGCGCAGACGCCACAGTGGAGATGGCGGAGTCCTGGGAGACCACACGTGGCGGCCTCCCAGTTGCGTAGACGATATCACTTCCTTCCCACAGCCACGATCCCATTTAAAAAAAAATTAATCACAGCCACTTATATTGAAGAAAGTGAGGATTTTTTTTCGAAGAAATAAAAGTGTGGGCAGATGCCACGAGGACTTTATACAAGGGTCACATGGTTTCCTTCCTGAGCCACACACCTCGCCATCGCTGGGGTCTTTGGTGTAGGCTGGTACGAATATGTTTCTTCTGCTGCTTCAAAAAATACTTACGTTTTAAACCATTGACGTTACTTTTTTGTGTGTGTGAGAAAGAACAGGCGTAAGAATTACTTAAGACCGTGTGTCCTGTCTCAGCCTGCAGAACAGCTCAGAAGGCGCTTTAAACCTTACCCAGTCAGTCCTTGTATGCGACTTTATTTTGGGTGCCACTGAGACTCGAAACGGATCGCAGTTGGATGTGAGAAAACATTCTCTCGAACAGAACTAGTGTAATTAAAAATAATCAAAAGTGTTAAATGTGAACTTGAGCTGTTTGGCTAGTCACCAGCCTTTGTGTTGTTACTTTACATGTATCTAGGGGTTCTGTGTTTGTTAAATAAGGTATTCTGTATTTGTTGCTGTATTTTTGGCATAACTTTATTATAAAAAGCATCTCAAATTTGAGACCCATGACCTGGTTCTTTGTGTGGTTTATTCGGCGTTCGCGTGTGGATGTGAGAGAGTCACAAACCACGGCATGGAAGGGACGAAGTGTCCCGAGTTGGGCGTTGACGAAGGGTCACAGTGACCCGCTCCCGACAGCGCTCAGATTCTCCCAGGCGTCTGCGACTCCCGAGCCTGCTCTGCAGTAAAACACGGTTTCGTCATTCGGAGAAGACAAAAACAAACCAAAAATCCCTCACGTTGTTTTGTAATATAAAGTGTAGGAAAATTGCAAAAAAAAATACAGGGCCATCTCGACTAGTGGAGTCCGGCTTGGGTGCAGACAGACGGCTCTCACGTCCCTGGGTCTCAGAGGGGCTGGAGGTGTGGGTTTGGGCTAAAAAAATACAAAGCCCCCGTTGAGAAGCGCTGCCTCAGAGGGGCCATTCTCCAGAGATGGAGTCCGCAGCCTCAGGCTGTGTCCCATGTTAAGAGTCATTCACCCTTGGCGTCAGAAGTTAGATTTTCTTTGTAAGGAATGTGCCACGAAAGGAGAAGGCCACGTGGCGAGAACTCCAGCCCCTCCCTGTGTGTCCTGCTGTTGGCGCCCGGGCCGTGTGGAGGGAGAGTCCCCAGCCGGATCCCCCACGGCCGCCTCCCGCCTGTCTCATCGGCCCAGCGAGATGCACCCTCGAGGTGACGAGGGGACACTCTCCAGAAAGTCAGTGAAGGATTCACAAAGTCATCAGGGTAACCGGTGACACCGTGACATGACAAGAACTACGTTTGTGGGCTCTGCCGATAGGTTCTCCCGGCACAGAGCTTGCAGACGGGTGCAGGAGAGCCCTGTCCTCATATCTGGCCTTTGGCCCCTGACCCCTGACCCCAGTTCCTGACACACAGCTCCTAAGACCTTGTGATGTCCTGGGTGATGGGAGCATCCTTTGTTTTAGTGAGGCCACTCTTGGGCTCCTGGACAGCCTCAGGGCTGGTTGCCAGGGGAACCAGCCTTGTGATGGGCTGGAACTTCCAGACCCGGCCCTCCCCGGCCGGTGGAGCAGGGGCGGGGCTGGTGGCCAGCGGTGCGGTCAGTGGTGCCTGCGTGACAGAACCTCGTGAAAACCCAAAGGAAGGACGGGTGGTAGAGCTGCCTGGTGCCCGGAGGGGCTGTCTCGGGCAGGGTGGGAAGCTCCACGCCCCTCCCGCGTGCCTGGCCGGCCCCGTGCGCATCTCCATCCTTTATATAAATGGGCAAATAGGAGTAAACGTTTCCCCGAGTTCTGTGAGCCAGGCTAGCAAGTCCAACCCGAGGGGGGTGCATGGGAGCCTGCAGCTACGGCGGGCGGGTCAGCAGTGAGGGTGCCACCCTCCTGCTGTGACGGGCGTCCGCAGCGGGGACGTCGGTGGGACGTCCCCCAGCCCGTGGGAGCCGACACTGTCTCCAGGTAGGTGACGTCAGCACTGTATCCTGGGAGGCCCGTCGGTGTCTGCCGGAGAGTCGTGTGTTGTGTGGGGAAGTCTCCACACCTGGCGTCGGGAGCTCTGTGGGTAGAGAGGAAGACCTTTTTTCTCCAGACGACTTTTTACATTTTCCACTGAATTTAGATCGTGGATGACCCTGTTCACCCCATGGCACTAAACAGTAATTTGAATAAATACAAAGAACCCGACATGCTCTTTTGGAAAACATGTCTGCCCTGAAGACTTCGACCTGCGTCTTGAACCAGTTTTTCTTGGCGTCCTGGAGCAAACGGCGGCGCCCCCGTGCGAGCACGCTCGCCCCGATTTTCTGTTCTCAGCGTGGGTAGCACGAAGCTGCTGATACTCCACGGCGTGGCGGGCACATGTGCAGAGCAGGTTCTCGGTAAGACTAGGCGTCAGCAGGGACCGCCACCCCCGTGTCTTGCTCTGAGCTTGCCGAAAGGCTCCTCTTCCCGGGGGTCACTGGTGGCCGTGGCCACCTCACATCAGGGGCTGAGCTGGCCTCGGGGGGGGGGCCTGGGGAGGGCCCGGGTCTGTGTCACATCAGCTTCAGGACAGCCCGTCATTTCGAAATGACACCGGGCCCATCCCCAGCCCCGATCACTTCTAAATTCTAGGTAATAAGAAATGGCCGATCTCCACTATTATCCCATCGTCCCACTCGGTGCAAAATTATTCCGTCCCTCCCAAAGCAAAGCACGGTGAGGAAGAGCACGGCGCTGTAATAACCTGAAATCCCCGTGTGCCACAAAGCGATGCACTAAGACGGGCCCCATGTTGTATGGGGATTTTCAAGTAGAAGGAAGTCATTTGAGTAAATATTTTAAAATGTTCGTTTTAACACCTTGTTCCTTTGGAAATGGGACCTTTTCAAGGAGGTAATACCTAAGACGTGATTTGTTGAACATACGACATAAATGAAAAGTACAAAACAAAAAGGGAGTGGAGGAAACTAAAGCCACCGGACAGCAAGCTGGGCGCACTTGCTACTTGCAGGACGGAACGGCCCGGCCTCCCCGCAAGCCCAGCAAGATCTCTGACCGCTCTGACTAATGGCCAGTGGGTGACTTATCTGAAGTCACCTCAAGGAGCCGGAACGCACAGCTTCACTTCTGCGTAGGTGGTCTGTCTCTTCTGCAAGAGGGGGGCGGACACAGTCCAGGGATGATCAGAGAAGCTTCTGGGTGGATTTATGCTCAGCGGTTTAAATTTTAAACCCACGCCAAGCCCAGGGGACCCAGGGGACTTCTTGCTTCCTGCTCTGTAGGGCGCAGATATTTCAAAGACATAAACCAAACCGCGGAGGTCAGCAGTTTCTCACGTTGGGGACACCATGCTGAGTGCCGACCGCCACCCGCCCCCCGCGAGTCAGGGCACCGCTGGGAGCAAAGTCAGGACAGTCAGCGGAGGTCATTCGCTCATTCACTCCCATCATTCCCTCACTCAGCAAATACCCCTTGGCCACCTGCGTGTGATACACTCGCTTCCTTTAGACGTGGGGGGCGCAGCCGTGAGCAAAACCAAGTCTCAGCTCCCCCGGGGCTCACGTGTGAGTGACAGAGACAGACAGCATGTCGGCAAATGACATTTCAGGAAGTGACAGGATTGCAAAGAAAACGGTGGGACACGGTGACACCGTGCAGTTGTGGGAGGACGGCCCGAGAGTGACTTGTGTAGGGAAGCCCGTGTAGGATGGTGCCGCCCCAGCGGACACCGGAGGACCAGGAGCCGGCGTGGGATATCGGGGGACAGTTTTCGGCAGGGAGAACTCGGGGAGAAGCCCCAAGCCAGGCGAAAGCTCGGTGTGTGCAAGGAACAGGACGGCCCAGAGCCTGCGAGGGGGTGCAGGGGGGCTGTGGGGGGTTGACAAGGCGGTTAGAGGCAGAGCAGGCTTCAGGGCACCCCCCTTTTTAGGGACAGCCCCACCTTTGCTCCAGCCACGGCGGAAACCCACGTGTGGTCCACCTGTGTCTGGTCGGCCTGCTCTCTAGTGGCCAAAATGGAGAACGACAGGTCATTTTCAAAAACAGTGCTAAGGAGTTTTTTTTCCATAGAAAAACTGTAGAGAAGGAAAATACTGTTAGATTCCACCAGAATGTTTGCATAAAACCTGATCACTCAAATCGTTTTTCCAAAACCCTCTTAGGTTCCCAGTCAATAGGATTCCTGAGAACTATTTAATATTTATTAGAACTGGAACAATTAAGTTGCTGTGTCTCTAGCTTTGGTCACACTTGGTCACACCGACAGGTTAGTCTGACGGAGACGTGCAGATTTGCTTCTCGGACACACCCGGGACGCAAGGCCGGGCCCTGGCTCTGGAGTCGGAGCCGGGCCTGGGAGAACAGCCGGGCCTCGGAGCCTGGTCGTGCCGGAAGGCGGCCCAGATGTGATCTCAGGAGGGCAGCGGGGACGGGAAGTGAAACCGGGGAGGACAGAGCAGATGGCGGGGAAGTCACCGAGCCGGCGGCCACCGCAGGTGCCTGGTACCGGGCCCCATGGGTCTTTTTCCGGAGCCTTACGCGGCGCGTCTCAGAACTGCCTGCCTGGGTGCGGGACGGGAGAATGTGCCCCGTTCGCCAAGCATGCGGCCTCGAGCATTAGCTCACTGCTCCGGGGTTGTCCGAGGGCCAGGGCTGAGCAGGTCCCCCGGCGTCCCTGACCCCACCCCCGTGGAGTCAGAGGAGCCCCAGGGCAGAAAGCCGGAAGGGTTTGAAAGCCCGGGAGAATATCCAGTGACCAGTGAAGCTCCGCCAGCTAGCCCGGGCGGGTTCCCAGGAGACCCCGTCCCCACACAGGAAGACGGGGACAGAGACTGCCGGCAGGGGCTCCCCACCAGACGCGCCCCTCGTACACGAGCTCAACTCCTCCCGGGGTGGAGACGTGTGGGAGCCACAGATGGCCGGTCCCTGCGAGTCGCATGCGGACGTCCTCCCTCGTTCACCGGCTGAGACGCTTCCTCAGCGAGCCGTGCTCAGGGCCCAGCGTGTCCCCTTCCGGGTTCCGGAAGCCACATGCACGTCCACGTCTGCTGGCTGGGCTCGAGGACACTGTCATCCTGAGCCAGGCTGCCCTGGGTTGGGGCTTGTCCAGGTCCTGAGCCCACCCAAGTCTGCGACCGCGGCAGGTGCCCCGCCAGCCACGCCTGGCCCCAGGACATTTGCTCAGCTTGGAGAGCACTTTTTTCTATTGACCTCACGGGTCTGTTTCCTAGGGCTGCAGCATGGCCGATGGCCACAGCCTTCGTGGCTTCAAACAACCGGAATTTATCCTCTCTCTGCTCTGGGGGCCGGAAGTCTGAAATGGAGGTGTCGGCAGGGACTCGCTCCCTCCGAAGGCTCCAGGGGAGGGTCCTTCCTGCCTCTTCCGGCGCTGGGGCTCCCGTTCCTCGGCCGCCCCCGCCTCGCTCCAGCCCCTGCCTCTCTTCCACAGCCCCTCTCTGTGCGTGGCTGTGCCCTCTTCTGCCTCTGACAAGGACACCATCGTTGGACTTGGGGCTCGCCCTAATCCAGCAGGATCTTATCTCCACCCTCACCTCA